CCAGTTATGTTTCTGAGCAAAATTTACATGGAATATTGACAGAAATTCCATTCATGTGTATGGTGATGTGTTTTTGTGAGTCTGGTCTCTCTCTCTCTCTCTCTCTCTCTCTCTCTCTCTCTTCTTTTTCCTGTCCTGGGTCTAGAGCTCAGGGCCTGGGTACTATCACTGAGCATTTTTTTTTTTTTTACTCAAGGCTAGTGTTCTACCAAATGAACTACAGCTCCACTTCTGGCTTTTTGGTGGTTAATTGGAGACAAGAGTCTCATGGACTTTCCTGCCCAGGCTGGCTTCAAACTGTGATCTTCAGATGTCAGCCTCCTGGGTAGGTAAGATTACAGGCATGAGCCACTGGTGTCTGGCTTCTAAGTCTTTTATTAAATAGTTAAAGGCAATAGTGAGAGCCCCAGGAGGAAGAATTCTGAGAAGAGGAAGTTGGAGGCTTTTGCAACAACCCTCTCTCTAGAGGACTACTAAAGGGTCTTTGATAACTACTTTAATTCCTTATAAAGGACAGCATTCTCAGTCACTTAAGGACCTTCCAGTAAGGCTGGACTTCCCAAGATCCTCATCATCTCCCAATATGGTGAGGACTTTCAGCCTCCAATACATGAACATTAGGAGCCACTCAAACAGTAGCATCCACTTAACTTTATCAATTTTATTATCAGTATTTTGTTTCTAATCTAAAATCCTTTATGAAACTCCATGCTCATGAAAATACTATCTTATTCTTTTCTTGGAAGCTTTATAGATTCAGGTTTGTTTTGTGTTTATCTACAACCTATCTGGGAATAATTTGTGTGTGTTATATATGTAAAGTTCACTGCTTTCAGATGGAAGTCCGTTCTTCTGATATCATTTATCAAAAAAAAGTACATTCGGTTTGCCAATGGAGCGACATCACTTTCAACTCAAAAATGTCAAGATAAACTAGAATCTTTGTCCTAAATCCAGATTCTTGAAAGAAAGAATTTCATTTCCTAACTTGGGCTGAGTATCTATTGTAACACAGACTATGGTGATGGTCTAGAAGAGAGTTAAAAAAAAAAGATACAAAAATCCCTTGGAAACCTAGGTCTTCCTTAAGAATGATCATGCATTCTTTTTTCTTTAAAAACTTAAAGAATTATCACTCACAAGACATCAAAAAGCATAAGTAAGGAGTAACCATGCAAATCTCATAACACTTCTTCCAGTACTAACATATTGCATAATTGTAGTATAATATCAACACTATGACATGAATCTTTCACAAGTTTTCTTTGACCTTACATTTATAAATGTCTTTGTTTGTAGAGCTCTATACCAAGATATCGTACATGTAATTTAGTGTAACTATCACTTCAATGAAGACATAGACCATCAATCAACATACTCCTCATGCTACTCCTTTGTAGCTACTAAATTATTATAATAACTAATCTGACAACACTAATATTTTCTTGACCCTTTTACTTCAAGAATGTTGTATAAATGGATTTGTAAGTCTGTAATTTTAAATACTGGCTTTTTTCACTTAGTATTTTTACATGAATTCCTTTAGTTCCATCCAAGTTACATGTATTAAACAATAATTATTTTTATCTTCCATACTTTGCTTTCTCTCTATTTTTTCTCCCTCTCTCATGCATTGTATTCCAGGACATGAATATACCACAATTTGAAATTATCTGTTTAGTCATTTCATCATGCTGAAGGACCTTTGTTTTGTTTTCACTTTTCAGTTCTAATGAATAAAACTTCTATGAACCTTGATGTACAGGTGTTTACATGAATATAAATGTTTACAAAGATGGATTTCCAAGGTGGCATTCTAAGATAATGGACACTACTGCAAATAATTGTATTATATGTTAAGTAAAATAATGGCTGTCCAGATATATCCCTGTCTAAACCTCTAGAGTATGTGAATACACTGGCAAGGAGGAATTTCTAAATGTGAAGAAATTAAGGATGTGGAGAAGGGGAAATTTTCCAGGATTATCTGCATAAGCCCAAGGTTATTAGGAGAGTCCTGATACATGGCAAATAAGAGTCAAGAGACATTGGAAAATATTAGCCTGCTAACTATGAATAAGGGACCACAAACTAAGGACTGAAGGAAGTATTGAGATACTGAAAAAGGCAAGGGACAGATTTCCTTAACACCTTACTTTTAGTTCATATGGCCTATTTCTGACTTCTAACCTCCAAGACTTGAGATAATAATTTTAGCCAGCTAATTTTGTGGTAGTTTGTTAATAGAATCAGTAGCAAAGAAATGCATACATATGACAATTTTTAATTATATTAAAAAAAAACTTTTCTTCGAGAAAATATCTGCACTTTCCAGCTCATACTTTTTCTTCAGTAAAGATCACATGTTTTTCAGAGATACCGACAGGACAATATATTGGAAAAATCTTTACAACTCTGGGCAGCCAGGAAGGAGGAGGGTGGATAGGAGTGTGGAACGTGGGGGAGGGAAGGGATAGTGGGACACAACAAGGAAGGGAAAGGGGTAACAATGATCCACAAGTAATGTTCTCATTGCCTTACTCTTGTAACTGTAAACCCTCTGAACAGCATCTTTACAATAAAAAATTTAAAAGAGAGAGAGAAAAAATAACTAAAGCCCAAAGAAGCTGAGGGTTAAAAAAAAAAAAGGTCACATGTTTTCATTCTTTCTTTCTTTTCCTTCATTCTTTTTGTTGTTGTTGGTCCTGGGGCTTGACCTCAGGGCATGAGTGCTATCCCTGAGCTTTTATGGTCTAGACTAGTGCTCTTTCACTTTGAGCCACTTTCCCATTTTCTGACTTTTTGGTAGTTAGTTGCAAATAAGAGTCTTCTGGACTCTCTTGTCTGGACTGGCTTTGTGCTGAGATTCTTGTCTTCTAAGTAGCTAAGATTACAAGCATGAGCCACTGGCATGTAGTGTGTTTTGTTTCTTTTAGGAAGGCAATTCCTATTCAGTAAAAATACATTTTTTAGAGACTTAAATGTCACACATTGTTCTGGAAGCAGTGAATTATCCAGACATGAAATCTCAGAGAGGGAGACATGGATAGTAAACACAAAACAAGATAGAGTCACATAGAAAGAAATGCTTTGAAAATTATACAAAAGGATGGTAGGGCCTTAGTACTTGCTTTAGTTTGAGCAGTTGGTAGAGGTTTCTTTGGAGAGCTGCCCTCCAATTGAGCTGGTATCTGAATGGTTAGGGTACAGCTGTATCAAAATTTTAAGCAAAGGAATTCTAAATAGGGCATCCACTTTAGAACTATTGCTCATTAGCAAATCACAAGAAAGGTAATGTAACAAGTATAAGGAACAAGGAGGTTCTATAGTTTGGACATGGTGTGTCTTTATCCAAACACTTGTGGAAGCTTGATTGCCAGTATAACAGTACTGCAAGATTGCAGGGCCTTAAAGAGGTTCTTCATCATGAAGGTTCCAGCATTATGGAGGGATTCATGTAGTGCCCTCTACCATGAGTTAGTTAGATATCCCATCCCTCTATTTGTATGAACCTACTTGCCCTTCTGATTCTACCATGGCTGAAGCAGTAGGAGCTCACTGGAAGTTAGAGGACAACACCATAGTTGTGAACTTCTCAGCTTCCAGAGCTAAAATTACCCAGTCTCAGACCTTCTGTTTTAGCAACAACAACGAAAATGAATTAAGACAAGTAATGACTCAAAGTAGCTGAGATGAAATAGGTATCCAGAAGATGGATTGTTGGGATCCTTATAGGACAGAATAAGAAGCTGATATTTGTTCATTGTATAGGAGGTAGCCACTGGATAATTTCAGTTGATGATTTGAAGTTGGTTCTGGAAACACAAACTTGGGAGTGATTATTCCTTTAAATTATAAACTTGAATGTGATAAACCTGGAAGAATGTACAGAAGAAAAATAACAGGGAATATCAATTTATAGATAGAGAGCTAAAGCTAAAAAAATTAGTCTGAGTAAGAGCATTCTGTGAAGATGGACAAAAACATCAGGAAAATACAAACCATCAAACATTCCATAAAAATGGGCTGAGCACTTACATAGCGAGCCTAGTTCTGAGTTCAAGTCACCATAGAGCAAACTAACTAGCTAGCTAGATAGATGAATGCTATTGAGAAATCTGGTTAGGAGCATCATAGAAGAATGGGTTTGTAATTAAAGCAAATTGTATCGATTGTGTGCAGGGGTGGGATGGGGGATGCTGTATAAATGGGTATGAGACCAATGGAATATGAACTAGATGTATAAGGAAGGAAATAAATACCAAAAGGGTAATAATATTGAAATGATAAGGTTGATGGATAATGAGCTCCTTAAAATTGATGAGTATCCATATGTCATACTGTGAGTACTAAGATAGGTAAGCTAAAAGTGTTGCTAAGGAACATAATTGAAATTCAGGTTTTGGAGGTAACTGATGATGAGACTTAACTGTAGGAAATATGGTAGAAGGTTGAAGGCATTTCTGAAATGAAGAACAGAAAGCCCAGGCAACATGTAAAATATGTGGTTTATGTAAATACTGAAATAACCAAGAGTATCAAAAGTTAAGAAATCAAAGTGCAAAGTATCAAAGATTTGCCCAACTCAGTACGATCTCTTCCTTTTCAAAATGTTGTACCTCCTTAGTTACATTTATCTTATCGCTTGCCTTTTATGATGTTTTCTCTTTTAAATGGAGCAATGGAAACAAGCCTCTTGCAATCTTCCTGTAGCATGTATTCTCAGCCCTTTTTCAGTGAGGGCTGAGCCATTTAATTAAGGGGAAATGGAGGGCTGAATGGAGGGCCAAGCCAACTTGGTTTGTTTGTTTGCATGCTTTGCAATGTTGGGTAGAAAACAGAGATTGAATGAGCCAGCCAGGCAAGCACTTTACCTCTGAGCAATATCCTTAGTCCCTAGTTTACCTTTCAATATATAGGAGAACAAATGTCATGATTTATTTTTAGGGACACGTTTCAGAGAAATCAAGGACAAAGATATATAGAAACAGACAAATTTTATTTTCAGAAGATTTTCAATACTTAAATAGTATAAAAATAAACAGGCATTTGTTTCAAGACTTCTATTTTACATAAGGTAATTTAAATACATATTTGTCTGAGGCATCGAAATATTCACACACAACCTGAGTACCGGGTTCAGTCAGCAGGATGGTCTTGTAACAATCAAGTTGATTTGTTTTTCCAAGATCAACAGAAAACAAAAAACAAATATCTGACACCAAACAGTCTCCTATACAACCTTTTCTAATGTTGACTAGTTCTTAACCTTATGTCTTCAAAACACAAAATCTTAAAGAAAAATTTTCCTGAGTTGTTTCTTTTCTAAAAACTTATTTGACATTATGCTTTCAATTATTTACATAAATTTTGTTGTTCATAATCAATGCTTGATTTGAAAATGTCAAATCCCATAGTATTTGTACAGATTATTTTTTCAGTAGATCGTGTTTGAATATATATATATATATATATATATATATATATATATAAAACAGGTCACTATTTAGGGCATGTTTAAGTTAATCAGACATTGTCCTCTGTGATTGATGTATAAGTAAATATCTAGGAAATGAATTTTGACCTTAAATATCTCAATCTACCAAAGTTAGATTCCTTACATTTTATCCATCAGTCTTAATTTAATTTTTATAGGTTACAAAATTCAGAGAGGTAATCACAAAAAATATTGATTTTGACATGAACAAAAAAATCAATGATTGTAGGTTTAAATACAGTTTATATACAAAGATACTTAATTAAACATAAATAATAATCCTTAATAAATAATTATGTAGAATACAGTACCATAAAATGTCAGCTGACAATGAGATGTAGAAATCTATCATCAGTTATTATTTTCTGTTTTATTATTACCCAGAATGATTCACTGACTGATTTGGGTTCTTAAATAAAAAAGGAATTCATTAGAACAGAAATGTAACTTTCTTCCTGTTGGGAGTGCCTTAACAATTCTTCGCCTGTTTGTATGATCTTCAGGTACAAATAGTCAAAATTATAAATAAACTGTTTATGTCTTTCATTTAAAATAAGTGAATACTATTTTTTAAGAAAAGGTCTTATTTTTTTCTTTTATTCCTTTTAAGAGGAGTCCTGAGCTGAAGCTTTCCTGAAAATGGGTAAAGTTCAAGTAAGAAATATAAATACAATGTAAAGATTGAAGATCTCTGACCTCAAAATCAGGAAACCAAAATGAAAAAAGTACATTAATCAAAACAAAGTTTCTTTTAAATCAAAGAAGCAGCAATGCAAGTGATTAGGATTGATTCAGATGCACATATTGAACTGGCTTATTAAGAGATTCCAGTGTGAAAGAGACTTAAACATTTTGAAGAAGCTTTCTATGAGGCCACTGCTACTTTTTGCCCTCTGAAATGGACTGCTAAATCATATTGTATAGCAAATAAGCTGGGAAAATATGCATGTTCAATTTATTAACTTCATTACAAAACCTATTGAGTTCTAGGCCTGAACTCAAAGATAGGAAAGTCTTCTAAAGCTTATACCCAAATTTGAACTTCAATTTAGAATTCTGGTTACACATTATTTCTAATGTAAAATCTTTTGATGTTATAGATTTTACTTGTTACTATTCATGTGCACAAATTGTGGAATCTCCTTATGGAAAATATTTTCACTCTGAAATAAGACTTCAATGGCTTCACTACATTTATGCACTAGCATTTTGATTTTAAAAAGAAGTTGTAACAGTCACATTGAATAGATTTTCACTCTTGGTGAAAAAACAAAATCTCTCACACTGTATTTAAAGCAGCAATTATAGTATCTATACTATTTATAATAGTTCCTTTTATCAATGTGGGTACAAGCTTACTTACTTTAGTCTGGGAAATAAAATAAACTTTCAAATGTGTTACTACCCTATAAATTTAGAAATTTCATATTATTATTTCAAGGCTCCTTTAACAAAACCATGAAATTATAGTAGAGTATGATTTAAATATAGATTTAAAAAATTTACTTGTACCCTTTACTGTTTGCTTTTTTGATGACAGGTAAATGTCCCAAATTTCTTTCTCCTCCCACAACCCCTTAATTTCATCTAACATATCATGATAGGTAGGTGTAAATAATGACAAATATTTTGTCATCATGTAACAACATTTAAGTTTCCAAACATCTTTGCTTTTATCCTTATCAAACCATACTAAACATGGAAATTCAAGTAAAGAAAAACGTAACACAGGAATCTGGACATGTATCTTTCTTGCTCTGAAAAAAAACAACACATCAGTGCTCCTTCCTGTGACAGATATTAAGGTAACATAAGGCACTGAGTATAAATATTATTAAATAATTAAGTTAAAAGTAATCGTTCATATAAATAAATAAATATGATCAGTCGCCTTCTATAGTTCCGTGGAGCGTCCTTTGAATAGCACTGTGGGGTTGATGTCATCTAGTCTGGAGTGGGAAGCACTCGCATTGATGGTGACTGTTTTGGCATGGGGTGGATTCTGAACATTAAATGAAGTAAAGGGACAGCCCTTGACGTTATTACAGATGAGGGACTGGATGGAGGCAGTGTTGATGATTTTAAAACCTACTTCTCCACCAAAAGTGCTCGGTTTCCAGTACTGAGGTGAGCAGATAGGATTACCCATAAGTCCTTTCAAGGAGAATGGTGCTCCAAGTTCTACCATGGTTTCCCCAAATATAGCATCTGGACGAGGCTTTTCTACCAGCAGGGCAGGGTACAACTCCATAGCGTCAATGTCACCATACAGGGCTTCCAATTCGGCAGCCATTTCCTTCTCTCCTGCAGAGGTGAAGACAACAGCAATATAAGAATACAAGAGCAAGGTAAGAATTCACAGAGGGAGGAACACATTCACTCCCTTCATTGACTTTTCTTTCCGTTTGTTGCTTCCATTTGACTCTTGATTCCGTGAGGAAGCTTAGAAAGTGCTTCTCACCTGTAAGTTCTTCAAATGAAGCGTAGGGCTTCAGTGAAAAGCGTTTCCGGTACTCATTAAGAGACTGGTATTTCATCTGTCTGCTCTGATCAATGGAAGCCTTGGCTACCATCTGTACAGCAAGAGGAACATTCCTGCCGCCGGCAACCTGTGGGAAATGAATGCAATTGTAAAACAGGGCTTTGGGGCGTATTTATTTCTTCTGCTTTACAAGCCTTCTTTAGCACAAGGTAGAGAAGGGACTTAAACGATTTTTTACAAAGACCCCTGTATACATTTCAATAGGAGCTAAATTTAAGATGGAACACTAGAACTACTTTGTCTTTCCAAATGATAAAGATCAAACAGATAATCAAGCTTGAAATATTTATTTCCACAATCTGGAAAACGCCTGAAAACTTTTCAAAATATCTACTTTTTTAAGGTACAGCTACAGATTGTTTACCAACTGGGCACTAACACGTAAGGCTTTTCATAAATAATCTTTCAGGCTTCTTATTTCGAGAAAATGATTTACTAGTAAAATAAATGGTTTTCTTTTAGTATCTAAGAGAAATAATTTCTGGAATAGAAGAAATTCTCAAGTTACTGCCATTTCTTTTGACTTTTTAAGTACCAGTGCTTACCCGGCCAGCATTTTGCTTGGTGAAGGATTCAACAAACTGAGTAAGGCCATGCTCTATTAGTATGGAATTGTTGTAGAGAAACTGTTTAAAATTGTACTCCTGGTCATCAATTTGAAAGGTGTCAGGCAGCAGAGGATGCCAGTGGTAGAGGGTGTTAAATTCAGCAGCGATACGGTTTTGGTATTGGAATTGTTGGTTGAAAAGCAGTTCTGGGTCAAACTTCAATTTGAAGTGATAGCCACTCAGGTGCTGTACATAATCTTCAATCACTATCTTAATTGTCTCTCCTATTGCACAAAAGAGAGATAAAACACCTTAGTGTTCCAATCACAAACTGGTAAGCAAGTGAAATGTAATTTGGTTACTTTATTATGCTCTCACTTTGATTTCCCACCCCCTTCAATATAAAAAAAAAATAATTCAGTCTGCTTGTGCTCATGGACTCAAGTAAGAGGGCATGAGTTCCCATTCATAATGTGCTCTGATTGCAAATATAGTGAAAGCCACAGCTTGATTATTAGCCTTCTTTGCAGAAGAGGTGTTTTTGTTTTCCTTAGCTGTTTGTCTCTTCTTGCTCACCTATGAGAATTAGCCTGGTAGTCTGGAACAAGCGCTCATCATCCCACTCTGGATGCTCTTGTTTAAGCACATCACACACTCGGTTGTGTTCTCGAAGCCAGATGGTGGCATACATCATCAGACCAGGTACCAGACCAAAGATCTCCTGCCCCACAGCAAACTGCAGGTGCTCAGGGGTATGAGGTGGGTAGATCATCTCCACCTGAGTATCTTTGACTGTGGGGGGATACATCTCTCCATCTATTACCTAAAAAAAAATAAATGACAACAAACAATATTAATAATGAAGGGTTAAAAATTTATCACGGGTGATGTTAAAATAAAGATGTACATGGTGAACCATGACTAATTCTTAACGGTCACAGGCAACCTACCTGGTATTTCATTTTTCCATCCTTGAAAAGGCGCAGCTTGTGCTGCCTGTCCAGAGTTTCACCATAAATATGATTCAAATCCACCTAGAAAAGGATGGAAAAATGTCCATTTGTTGCTGATGAACAATCTTACATAAAGGGTCTTATATAATCCACCAGTAAATTTTGATTTGTCTTTAAAATTTTTCATATTCAATAAAACAAATGTTTTTTTTGGCCACTAAATACTAAATCTCTGCTTATTCATCAGAACTACAAGACTACAGAACTACAAGACTATATATGGCTATTTTGTAAAGTGTATTCTATCGGAAATGTAAATATATGACTACTTCATTATAGTCATATATGTCTAAAAAGTGGTTTTGAAAATGAAGGCTGGGATGTAGCTCACTAAGAGAGCCCTTGCCTAGCATGTGTAAGGCTTTCTCTGAGTTAAATCCCAAGCACCACAAAAAAGAAGGATAATTATTCATATAAAATTAAGCAAAATATAATTATCAATTGAAGTCATGTTAGTGAGATCCAAAGGATAATAATACTGCAGGTATCTTCCTTTATACTGTTTATAACCCCTAGTCATGGCACAAAAATGTCTTAGAAGACATAGAATCTTGGAATGCCAAACTTTTAACTGAAAACACAAGGAAAATCACAAACAAAATATCTGTATCTCTGTTGTACCCATGTATGAGAATATATATGTATGTGTGCATTTTACTAAAGCAGCAAGTTAAAAATCAAAAGCTTTATTAAGCTTTTTTTGTAGAAATGACATTAAAAATAAAGATGAATAATATGGTTTGGCAAAAAAATATTAGCATTTCATGATTCTATCTTACCCCATGGCCCAGTCCTTTGGTAAAAGCAGGTCCTCGTTTTTGATCTGTCTTGAAAAACTGATGGGTGAAGTGTTGGGCAAAGAATGCGAACATCATGTTAGTGCCTTGAGGATCAGGGATAAACTTTCTTCTCAGAAGAACTTTCTCCAGAAGCTCTTTTGAATCAGGGAGCTCCTTCTTTCCTGAAAAAAGTAATGAGAAAATAAGGTAAATGGAAGTCCAAAGATAGTGCAGAACACATTTTTATTAAGTAATTTTGCCCACGTTAGCAGTAATACACTTTAGGACTTTAATTCGGCCTATTAGTTTAGGACCCAGTTACTCTGATGTAACTGTTTATATAGATTAAGATCTTTAAAAAGGCTATGACTAGTAAAGACAAAAACAAACAAACAAAAAAACTACATTGGTGTTAATAAATGGCACTTTAAACTCGAATTTTTCCAGGTTACAATCCAAGTCTTGCTGATTAACAAGTCTACTTATTCCTCTTGCTTACCTTTCACACCCATGGGAGTTGGGCAGTCATCAGCTACAGGAGGAAGGGCTCTGGTATAGTAGGAGAGGTTAGAGAAGGCTTCCCAGCTTTTGTAGCCATAATCCACATTGTAAGTTGGTGGGCTGTCAATCAAATGTGATCTGGCTGAAAGTTTTAAAGAAAGAATTTGTTAGTCCCCTAAGTATAACAAGTCAGTCTTAAAATAAAAACACGTTTATTATAAAATGCAGAATATGGCAAGGAGATTAATTCTAACAAAGATACTCTGATTTAAAATGACTACACTCAACCTGGCACTGGTGGCTGAGATCTGAGGATCTTGGTTTGAATCCAGCAGGGACAGACAAACGCAAGAGAATTTTATTTACAATTAGCCAGAACCAAGCAGGAAGCATGGTTCAAGTGGTAGAACACAAGGATATTATGTTCCCACAGTCTGTGTTTTTCTTAGCTCAGAACTATACAGCTTTAAGTTTTTGCTGAGTCAAATCCAAATTAATCATTTAATTAATGGGTACTATATTTTTGGAAGGATCCTGTGGCGCATGAACACTGAATAAGCAAGGGACCACACTTTCTTCACAAGGAGCCTAGATCAGTGAAGGTTGGCTACATGAAGGATCGCCACAGATTTCTATGAGGCAGAGCTATTCAAAGGCCATGGGACAAATGCCAATATTTTGAGCTTTTGAGATAGAAGGCAAACTACAAATGTCTATTCAAAGTCATTCTGAAGACTAGAAATATATGTTTTGATTAAGTTAAGTAATGTCTGGTATTATAATGCCTTAAAAAAAAGAAGCTGAAAAATCTTAGAGATTTGTACTTACATGTCAAAACGTATTTCATAATTGAATTTCTCAGGAAAGGAATGTTATTGATAATGTTCCAGACTCCCTTGAAGTGGGTAAGTATGTAGTGCACAGTGTTTGGAGTAGGCTTTAGAAGTAATTTTATTCTTGTCAGAAATTCAGCTGTACAAAGAGAGGAAAAAGAGGGGAGACATTAACAGGGCTTCTTAGTCGAGGCAAATAAATAAAATGGAAATTCTATGTAGCCTCCTTTCCAATGAGGAAACCCCCCAGAATGACTTACGTGTTGTGCAGTTTTCCCCATAGAATCCCGTTCTTGTACAGTCGCAGGAATACCGGTCGAATCCTACACTCATACACTCGCCTCGGTTTTGACATGGGTTGGAACAGCAAGGATTTGCTACAATAACAGTAAGGACAGCATGTGAATCACCTGACTCCTCATCCCGATTTCAACGTTTAATCATTTGACTCTCTGTGGGTCAACCTTACAAGAACGGATTCGAGAAATTTGCAGACAGTCGTGGAGGAAGAACTTTTTTTTTAACCTGCCTCCAAAAAATGATGCTTATAATATAAAATGTTAACCTCCTTTTCTAAATACAGGTAACAGAATATTCAACCTGACATTCACATTAATTCCCCTCCCCCCAACCCACCTCTTAGTTGTTCAAATCAGCATTTTTTTTTAAAGAATCTCAAGTAAGTAGCACTTTTGTAATTAAAACGAATGGGTCTAACCCAATAGTTAAAATTTAAGGCAAAAAGTGATCGTAACGAAATAGTTTACTTAAGTTTTTTTTTTCTTATGCTAGGACAGGAATGCACTCCTTGGGGATTTAAAACCATGACACTTTGTACTAAAGGCATCACACACAGACATTTCCCACATACTGATCAGCCCAATCTATCATCACCACGACCACCCGACAGCGACTGACAACGCTGGCTGTCTCTGCCCATGAGTGGCCAGTGGTCAGAGGTCCAGGAGCCAGGAGTTACATTTGGCAATTGGGGGCCAAACCTTCAAGGAGTGCAATCTCTGTAAGGCTGCCTCGGGGGAAGCAGCGGGGAGCGCTGGGGTGGACTGCCCGGCGGCTGAGCGCGCTCAGCCCGGAGGAGTGGAGCCCAGGGAGGCCGGGGCACCGCGGAGGGGAAACTCACCTGCGCTGCAGAGCGCCAGAGCCGCGCTGAGCACCAGCACTCGAAGCAGCATCCTGGCGGGCGGCGGGCGAAGGGCGCTGGGGCGCAGGGCGGGGCGCAGGGCGGGCAGAGGCGGCGCAGGCGGCGGCGGGCTGCGCGCTGGAGAGCCGGAGGAGGCAGGAGGCGCAGCGGGAGTTCCTGGGCGTGCTCCTGACGTGGGCTGCTCGGAGTTTGACAACTGAAGGCCCCGGGAAGAGAACCTTCCTTTTATGCGCAAAACCAAGCCTACGTGATGACATGCCTCTCTTCCCGCCTCTCTTACCCGCACCCCGCCCCCCCCCCACACACGGGTTTTTTTCTTTTTTTCCTTCCCCCCCCCCCACCGCTCGAGACACATTGCGTAAGCTGGAGTGGGGGCAGGAAGCTTTTTACTCACGCAGTTGAGCAAAGCAGAAAGCCCTGGAAGTTGCCCTCGGCTGCCCCAAGGTGGGTGCAAGGCGAATTGTTCCCAGGTCAGCAATTCCAACCTCCCCACTTACCCCCTCCCTTCCCGAAGCTCCCGAGTCCTCCCTCCTCCCTGCCCGTCCCCCCACTCCCCACAGCCCCCCCATCCCCCCCCCAGCGTCTAACTTTGAGCAATTCCTTTCTTTTCCTGTCTTAGTCCGAGATCTGAACTTGGCAAAGGGGAAAGGGCACTGCGGGCTTCCCTGATTGATCCGATCTCCTGATCTCTCCAAATTCCCGATCTAGGAACCCTGAAATCCCAGGACAAGGGAGCCCCCTTACTCTGCCTCCCTTCCCGGGTCCTCCGGGAACCCAGAAAATCACAGATCACGCAGAGGCAGCTTTTTTTCTCGGCCATGTCAGTTTCACCAGCCCCCCCCCCCCATACTCATGAAAAGAATTTGATGTTCAAGTTGACTTTCACAGGTGTCCCTTCTGCCCACTTTCTCCAAGGTGATCAGCTGTAACAGTGAAGCCCACCATGGTGGTACCTCTAGCCTCCAATTGCACATATTGGGGGCAGTTACTACTGTTTTAAATTTTTATTTGGTATCGTGGTTTGGTGAAAAGTTAATTGGATGGAGGGTTGATTTGGTTAGTTTTGACTTTCATCTTTTTGTCCCTGAAAGTATTTAATTAGTTAATTGGTTCTGATTTAAATTTTTAGTTATTGATTATGTGGCCCAAACTGTCCTGGCACTAATAACCCTCCTACTTCAACCTCCAGTGCTGAGATTACAGACATGCTAAATCATACTTCATTTCTTTTTTCTTTTATTTACTTACTTTATTTAGCATCCATGTATCTTAAGTAGTGGTCAGAGAAGGCTGTATGAAATTTTTTTTTAAATAGCTGAAACAAAGAAGTAGAAAAAAACAAATTTGCTTAAAGTTAAGCCATAGCTTCTTAGCCTGAATTTGGTGTAGGGGAATGACATAAAATGTCATAAAAATGACATAAAATGGTGGCTCACATCTATAAGCCTAACTATTCAGAGGCTGAGCTCTGAGGATCCTGGTTCAAAGCCTGTGCAGGCAGGAACATCCATGAGACTTATCTTCAATGAACTTCCAAAACATTATAAATGAAGCTGTGGCTCAAGTGGTAGAGTGCTAGTCTTGAGCAAAAAAGCTCAGGGACAGCACCTAACTCCTGGGTTCAGGGACAGACAGACAGACAGACAATCAGACACACACACACACACACATACACACACACACACACACACACACACACACAATGTTAACCATTTATGAGAACTAAATGGTGTCATAGAATTCACAGTCGCTGACTGCCTGAAATCCAGCCCTTGAAAGGCAAAGGCAGGAGATCACTTGGGCTGAGGAGTATGAAATCAACTTATTTGTTCAAAACAAAACAAAAACAAAGAGAAAGAAAGGAAAAAAGAGAGAAAACAAAAACAAAGAAAAACATCTGGGTTCCTGTGTCTGTCTCTTGCCTGCAATCCTAGCAATTTAGGAGGGTGAGATCTGAGGATCAAGGTTCAAAACCATCCCTGCAGAAGCCTTTGAGTCTCTCTCTCTCCAATTAACCAGAAAAAATAAAGGCTGGTTTAAAAAAAAGAAAAGTAAAACAAAACACATCAACTCAAAGCTACACCAAATGCATCAATTTATGGAAGTTTTACAGAAAAGGTAGACACACATGGAATTTTTTTTTTTTTTACCATTTTGCTTAATCACACATCAACATGATTCCACATGAGACAAATGACTAAAATTCCATCTCATCTAGAAAGCCTTTTTTCTCCAGTCATATCAAATCATTCCATTTTTGTGTCAGACTTGCTAGTATAAAATTTCAACTGAGTACTTAAAGGATAGTTCCTTTTCTTAAATAATTTAAATTTTGTATTTCACTTGAAATGGCAATGTTCAACAAAAACTGAACTCACTACTTTATGTATGTAACTGTAATCCCTCTGTACATCATCTTGACAATAAAATAAACTTTAAAATGTAAATAAAAGGTATATTATAGATTTTAGCTTGGGTTAAACACCAAAAGTCTATGCTCTAGGATTGGAGAGTGGTTCAAGGGCATCCACCTAGCAAGCCAAGGTCCTGAGTTCATCTCTTCATAACACACAGACACAGACATACAGATATGACACAGACACACACAGGCACACAGACACACACAAGTAACATAAAAAAGAGAAAAGAAAGAAACCCACACCTAACAGAACTGATAAGTGTTCTAAAATTTTACATTGGAATCCTGAAGTAATTTATAAAGACATCAGGTTCACCATTCTTATGTTCTTATAGAATGCTAATTGTATGCCCACTTTCTACAGAAGTGTGGTTGTGTATAAAGAAATCATGGAATCAAAGATGAGAGAAAACATAGCGCAGATGGTTATCATATTTAGTTCATTTGGAATTAAAAAATAATAAGCTCCAGGTCATAGTGGAAATGTAGTTACTTAAATCTATTTGGTTAAATTCCTTGATTTAATATATGAGTTCAATAACAGGATGGAATGAAACTCTTTGTTTCACATACTTATAAAAATAAAAAAAAGCACTTGACACTTATTTTTAAGAATTAGAAGTAGGTTTTTTGTTTGTTTGTTTGTTTGATTGTTGGTTTTTCCCCAATTCTGGGGCTTGACAGACTGGGTTTTTGTCTCTTAGCTTTTATTGTTGAAGGCTATCACCCTACCACTTGATTCAAAGTTCCATTTCAGCCTTTTGGTGGTTAATTTGGGATAAGAATGTCATGAATTTCCTGCCCCAGGATGGTTTCCCACTCTCAGATCTTAGCTTCCTGATTAGCTGGGATTACAGGGGTGAGCTATCTTGAGTCTGACTTAAGTGAGAGGTGTTTTGAAAGGAAGTCCAAATAAGGTCTTAAAGAAAAATTATTATATAATTTATTTGCTATTTTGGACAAGTAAATCAAAAATGGTAAAATGGATAGGCACAATTTGAGATGCTGGTCCTAAGAGAGCTATTTAATATCCCAAATTAAGTTGACTGTGATTTATATGGACAAGTACAATAATTAATGTTCACCATAATCAATACAGCTTGATTCTGTAAGAAAATAGAACTCAACTTGTGTATATTTAGTGTTTCTGTGTATATTTTGTCAGATATATGTATATATACAATACATGTACCTATTGAACAAAATTTTATCAAAAAATGCTTGAAAAACTATGAATGAAAGGCTGGGAAGGTGGCTCAGTGGTAGAGCACTTGCCTTGCATGCCTGAGGCCCTGGGTTCGATTCATCAGCACCACATAAGCAAAAAGAAAAAAGCTGGAAGTGGTGCTGTGGCTCAAGTGGTAGAGCGCTAGCCTTGAGCTGAAGAGCTGAGGGACAGCGCCCAGGCCCAGAGTTCAGGCCCACGACCGGACCCCAGAAACAAACAAACAAACAAACAAACAAAAAAACTATGAATTACGAAAAAATAAAGAAGATCACTTAACTTCTATTGAGTCTACTGTCCCATTTGCTACTTGAGGTTCTAATTATTTTTTTTCCAAGATCCAGAAAGAAATGTTAAGATTGATTTTGTATCTTATGTTATATTGTTCTAGTGTCCACATGTATTTATTTTTAGATTTAGTTTTCATGGATATACTAAAAAGGAATGCAATATTGATTAACTGAAACACTAAATCATTCATAATAAATCAAAAAGCAAACATTGATTACAAATAAAAGAATGTAGAAAGATATACCATAATAATACTAAACAAGGAGAAATAGAATAGTTCTATAGTGGTAGGCAGAGTGAGGAAGACTGAAACTTCAAGGCGAGCATTACACATGATGACAGAAAAATTCTTCCATATATTGGCAAACAACAAAGCATCAGTATGAGTAAGGTAAAACTGATAAAATGGCACAGAGGAACAAAGGATACTTTGATATCCTATATTAAGATAGAGGAAGTAGCTCAGTAGTAGAACTCAGCGTGCTCAAGACCCTGGGTTCCATTCCCAGTAATTCATGAAAATAAAACAAAATAAACATGACAAGGTCTTACGGTATTATGGCCCAAGTCTGTAGTTCCAGCATTTGGGTGGCTGATCCTGGATTAAAATTGATATCTTCTCTAAAAAAAAAAAGGAAGAAAGGAAACAAGAGAAGAAGGAAGGAAAGAAAGAAGGAAGGAAAAAGAAAAGGACAATTCCATAAAGTCATTAAGGACTTAGGTAAAATCTATCACTGTAAATCAAGTGGTTGTAAATGATCTCTATAAATAGTTTTGTTCAACAAGTTTCATGAAGCATATACTAAGATAAATCATATTCTGGCCAAAAAGCACATAGTAATGTATTTTAAATTAGAGATGATACAATGTACATTACATCTTAGATTGCAACAAGAATAAACTAAAAAATGAATAATAGCTGGAAAAATACCAGTTATTTGATATCACAACGACACATTAAAAATTCATGGGTCCAAGAGAAACCTCAAAGGCTATTAAAAACATTTTGAGTCAAGTGCCAAAAATTATAGCTACTCAGGAGGATGGGATTTGAGGATTAGGGTTCAAGATCAGCTGAGACCAATTAACCACTAAGAAGTTAGAA